TTCATTTTCAATACTTCTCATCCATATTAAAGCAGGAAAAAAAAAAAAAGAAGGAATAAGAGTAATACCAACACTACATGAATAACAACTTGCTGTGCATGAAACATTAACTATTCTTTCTTGTGACCTTAAAAATCCCAGAGCTGAGCCTGCAGTGGTGGTACCAGTATTCAGTGCTGGCATTCATTTTTCTGTCGGAAACACCAACAGAAACAGATTTGAAGTTCTCTGTACAAAGTCAATACCTTAAGAAAACTAAAATTCATGCAGAATGACAAAAGATCTGCACAAATGCAAATGGTGAGAACAAAAAAGTTCTAAAAAAACTGGAAAGGAAGATATGAAGAGATGGTCTGTTAAGCTTGGGAACCTTTCATACCCTAAGGCAAGCTATCAAAGAGGATTACAACCCTGAAGAACCCTGGTTATCACCTGTGCAGTGAGGTGGCTGAGTGGCAGAACCATGCTCTCTGACGATGTGTAGCGACTCTTAAACTTGTATTGTCAGTAGAGGAAAGCAAGCTTAGGAACAACTATTCTCTGACTGCCTCTGTTCAGAGGGGATAGCATTTCCCAGCAGCACTTTACCCCCATATCTGCTAACTGCCAACTGAAAATATCACAGTACCCTTCTTGATGGGTGCAAAAGGAAAAGACTAACAAAAGCAGTGGAGACTGATGCTCCACTAGATTCTTTATGGAGAACTCAAGCAAAGCCTTCATAATCCCATAGTGTTGCTGCATTCTCATAACTGTAACTTTCACTTTTTTTTTTTTTTTTTTCCCTCCAGAGGAAATACAGACAATTTGAAGAGAAATACCTCCTCAGACTCCTGGATTCAAAGGTCACAGGCCAGACCATGAAAGGAGGCAGATTATGAACTGCTTTCTGCGTTAGAGCACCTATGTCTCAAAGGCGTTCAGGCTGAACTGCTCTTCCAGGACATTAACCAACAGAGCTTTATTAAGACTTAGCCAGCAGTGTACTGAGGAGCACATTTATTCATTTGTGTATTTTCAGAGAAGGAAACGAGGAAAACCTACAAGCGTGCACTTGCCTGGATGTCAGAAAGAGAAACATTCAGAAGTCAAACATAAAGCATTTAAAGAAGCAGCTTCCCAAGACCACATAATCCACTTCAATAACAATTATAATAATAATAATAAACCCATTCTGTATGATACAGGAAATGATAAATTGCCCATTGGTATGAAAGTAACATCAACTGACTGTAAAAATGTGAAGTGATAATTACTGGGATCTAGACTTACAGCCTTTTGATTCATGTTAGTTATGTACCCCTAATTAAGTAATTTTGCCTCACATTGCCTCCATGGTCTTCTTACACGCTGCTTTTACTGACAAAAGGGAGCAGTAACAGAAGTAGCAAATTGCTATATTGTAAGTATTAGAAGAAGGAAAAGTGTGAAAAATGTTGAATCGAAAAATATAAGCACTGTCAAGATTATTCTATGTGTGTATCAATGAAATGAAAGAATGTTGTTTTGTAATGTCACATTGTGTTCACACACTTCAGTTCTCAATTTAAGTGATAAAATAAGTCTTACTGCACTCTGTAACTGAAGGTTTACAGCAGCAGAAACAAATGAAATTAACAGTCATCTCCTTGGCATTCATTAAGAAAGTGGATTCAATACTTTCTGAAAAATGTGATCATTTTCTACATCCAACTGGGAAAGGCAAATCACTTGTGGAATTTCACACAGAATTGTCAAATAAAGATAAATGAGTTATTCTTCCTGTAGCATTTAATAATGAACTGCATTTTTTAAGGACCACGCTTAAAAACTTAATAAAGATAGACAGACCCTTATGAGCAAAAAGAGAAAGCTGAAATACTCAGAGACTTCATGTAGATGAATGAAAAATGTTCACAAAACAAATCCAACATCACTGCCCTCTCCTTCCAACCTCCCCAACCCTCCCCCAGTAGCCTAAGGCCAAAATTTGAATCAAGAAATCATAATGCCAGCCTGTGTTATTTCAGGGTTGTTTTGGGCCTGTGCAGTGACAGAACTGAGGAAAGTCATTACAGTACAAAGTTGGCCTTCTCTTACTGGCTGCATATTCAGTGATATGATGAAAGTAGCCAGGGAAGGAAAAAAGAGTGCATAGAGATAGTACAGGTAAAAAAGACTTTCTGGGGCGTCATAGTACTGATCAAGTAAGTACTGCTGTAATTTGCCGTCAGCTTAGAAGGACCAAGGAGTTTTAACAGTACATCTCCAAGCAACCCTACTTATTTTTCACAGGTACAGTAGTCTATTACTCCAAGGCAACTATGCAAAGGTAAAACAAAAGCCACAAAGGTGTCACAGCCAGATTCAAACCATCTCATTTAATCAGCTGAGACACTGCATTGTTTGCAAATAAATATCTGGTCTGCCAAAGCAGCTCTTAGTTACTAAGGTCCCCACGTAATCATCACGCAGAATCACACACTGATGAAGAATGATTTCAAGTTAGTAAGCTAGTGCCTTTAACTTTACGCTGCTAATGAAGTAACCTTTGGGGTCTCCAATAGCTGTGTGTACACACAAACAGCCTGGGAAGTTAGCCTGCATGGGCTTGGATGTATGAGGCCAGAATAAAATGTATGATGCTAGAAGAGCATGTCATCAGGGTTCAGCAAACCAAGACCAGAAAGCAGAACTGCGTAGAAAATGTCCTTCCCAGATCTACTTGCATGGTTGAGTGAGGTAACATGGACAGGAAGCCTGAAGTGCCCCCATCCAGCCTTGTCACTGGCTGTGCCTCTTGGACTGATTGTATTTACTCGCCTTTTGTTCTAATTCTAAATCAGGATGAATTAAAAGAGGAAAAAAGAAAATGCAAAGCACAAAGTCTACCAAATGCAAAGCACAGAGTCTATTAAAATGCAACAGAACAGTGGGATTTCACTAGAGCATTACAGAAGATAGATACAGAAGATATATATTTCTTCTGATTGCCTGAATAGTAGTTCAGCATATTTCTCCACTGAGAAAACCAGGTACAGAAGCACTGCTATGACCCAGATGATGAGAACTACATAAGGAAATCAGAAACTAAACAAATAAATGAAAAGCAAACAAACATCTCTTAAGTGGATAAGTAGGACATGCTGCTAGTGGCACAGAATACAATAAGGAAATTAACTTGGTTTAGCTAATTTTGGCTGCAAATTGTGTTTATAATGGGGAGAAATAAGTAAACATTTTTAGATTGATGTTTGGGGACTGATGTTTATAGATTGTACCTCAGAATGCCAGTGAAGACAAAAACGGGGTATAGTTCGCTTACATAACACAGAGAAGTCTTAGTGATCCTGATGACAATGAAGACAAAATGAAGGTAGTGCATGAATGAATTGCTGAAAGAAAAGATGAGTGGTGGTAGTGTCTGGAGTGCTCCTGATTTGCAGTGGCATTTGGCTCTTAATGCTATTTTTTTAACATCAGAAGATGAAAATAAGGCCAGTGTTACAGTATCTACATTCCAATAAGCTGTGTATTTTTTAAGTATATAAATATTCCAAAACATTTTGCCTCATTTGGTAGTAATTACGTCTGAATTGGCATCTATGCTGACTTTACTTTTTGGACAACAGGACAGATTATGTTATCTGCTGCTTGGAATAAAAAAAAAAAAAAAAAAAAAAAAAAAGAATCATAGAATCATAGAATGGACTGGGTTGAAAAAGACCTCATCCAGTTTCAACCCCCCTGAAATGGACAGGGTCACCAACTACGAGACCAAGCTGCCCAGGACAGACATGAATATTTATCATAGAAAAAAATAAGACCTGTGGATTGTATTACACTATGATTGTTTTTTTTGCATTATATGTGCTTTTATGCATGCTAAACAAATAATTCAGAAAAAAATGTAGTTGTTCCACACCAGGAATGCTGTAAAGCAAAAATGTTTAAGGCTGCTCTTCTAATTCCAACATAAGTATTTAAACAAATGGCATCTGAAGAAAATAACCAATGAAAGCATGATTTACTTACAGGCATAGGGTTCTAAATACATAATAATCAACTAAATAAGCAATATAATGTTGTTCTGTTAATGCTACTTAAGATTTCCTAAGCTAAAACTTGACTTTTTTGTGTCTATGTGTGTTTTACTGGCAAAACATTACTTTGCTGTTATATCACTAAAAATAACAACTTTTGATTTACAAAATATTTACTCTTATAAACTTATGTTGTTAAATAATTGTATTTTATTTAAAATTCTATCAATCAAAGCAGCTAAAATCTTTTGCTACTTAAATGGACAGTGAAAGGAGTTTGATAGCAACAATTTTCTGAACTGTTTTGGTAGCAATAACGCACGTATTTTAGCAACAGAGACAATTATGTAGTACAGACTGTTTCTTTCTGCAGATCTGAAGCAAATTTGGGGAAATATTACTAACCAGTGAAGCACTGAACATCTTTAAGGAAGTGCATAGGTGTTTCTTCACGGTAGGACTTCATTTTCTCCCTCAATTGCTTTAAACTCTGTGAAGTCTACAGATTCCCTCCTTCCAAATATATTTACAGATGGATTCTACTTTTGCAAAGTTCTTGAGGAGTGTCAAAAAGGTCAGTATATGCTCAGGTTCAATACTTTTTGTGTTCTAAGAAGTTATTTCCATTCATCCACATTTGGGATATTTTTTATAATTTAGGAGCAAATAAAATGGGATTTACCTTTACCTTTTTAACATGACACTGTGAAGACATGTTCAAGACAAATGCTGTGATGGGAAAATGAGCATGCATCAATACTATTTTCACATTCACTAGAACTTATAATGGCTGATATAGGATAAAATGAGAGACTAAAAGGAAGACTTTGTGTAATCATTGTAAGAATAGTCTAATAAAAACCTTGCTCCTGAAAGCTTTAATTGTTTCAACAATGTGTAGCAAACATATTTGATTATACAAAGCAAAAGCACAATTGAGGTATCAACTTTACACAAAGTCAGATATCTGAAAGGGGATCTTTTAAAAAAAAAAACTTTATTTGAGAAAGGAAGAGACTTATATCAGAAGGCAAAAAAAGGGAACATACAAACAATATATTTACAACACAAAACAAGAGATCACCTCTGAGGGTGTAAATTCTAATAAATACAGTAGATTTAAAATGTAGGAGACAACTGTCAATTAGAAATGTGGGATTTTTTTAAACCCAGTTTTCCTTTTCACTGGTTCCAGGTAATTTCTCTATTTCAATTTTTTCCAAGTTTGAGAGATTCTGAAGTGAAAGTCTACTAATCTATTGGGGTTCCTCACCTGCAGAACATTATAAAAATATCTTCTGTGCTTTGTGAATACACTGTTTTGGAAATGATATTGTACAAAAGTCTTCTCATTTGCAAATTTCTCCCCAAATAAAATGTATTTTAAAAAGATGCACTATCCCTTTTGATGAGGTTGAAGTTAGGCTTCAAGGAAAAGTACAGTTATATAGAATGGGAAAAATATGCAATTTCAGTTTTATATGCTTTTCATTGTGAATGCAAAGTGATTTTTTCATCCAAGACCAATATAAAGCACACAGAAAAGTTGTCTACATTTTGTCAATTAATGCGTGTTTCCTATCTAAGTTCATCATTAAGTTGCAGGAGGCCTTTCGCTATACAGCAACTACTTAGTTGTTGATTTGAGATCTTTTAGGAAAAAGGATAATGTATCTTTATAGGTCGCAACATTTTATAAGAGCTTCAATAGTATTAGAGCATCATGTAAACAACATATGCTAATAACATGTCAGAACAATTTCTACATTTGGCAAAACATCTATCTCTTTTGAAACAGGATACTGCACCTTAAAATACCTTAGCTTTAGAAATATAAATATTTTTTAATAGAAAAAAAACTGACAAGGATTCCAGGTCAGTTTGGGATTATCCATATTAAAGGGGATCTTAATACAATGAATCTTTAACTAGCTTAACAAAAGTAAACCTATAAAACAAGGTAAACATATCAAAAGGGAATATGAAGGAAATGTTTCACTGGAAAGCTTCCTTAACAATTTCCCTGCTCGCTTTGTTATTTTCTTTGACAATAAATCAATTCATAGAGTGCCTTTAAAAACAGAGAGAACACTACCCCGTTCCCCCTGCCTTACATTCCTCAGCACATGAATCACTTGGGCTTCCTGTTTCCATAAGGCATTTCCTGCTCCCCCTCTCAGAATCACTTTTCTCGAGGAGAACAGCAGGGACCTGACAAAGTCTTGACTTAAATAAACAGTGCCTGCCACTGCATCCAGCATTGCTCTGTCTGATTTTGGAGCAACAAAAGGGACAGCAGCTCTCTGAAAGCACAGGCTGCACAAATGCACTTCATTCTGCAGCATTCGCAAAACACTGTCAGACAATTTGAAGTTTCCTTTTGCCAAGTTGGCATTATTTACACTGTCCTTATTTTAAGCTTTGTCCATGAGACCTAGTGGTAAAGGTTATGCAATATTGTATGACTAGTTTTTCTTTAAAACAATAAGCAAGTGTTTGGATATCAGATAATAACGATAACACTTCTGTGCTTTTCCTTCAATACTGTAATATCTGATTGGAACCTAATGCTGCATTTTCCTTCTTGCCAGTATTTGCATCTGCTTAATTTAAGGGTGTCTTTGTGGACAGTATCATCAAATAAGACAGAATGAAAAATGAATTAAGCAGTGCAAAAATGAAAACAATGCAATTTTCAAACAGCGCCTTGCCTTGCATGTTTACATCCACCTGGTATATTTCTTTAACTTTGTACTCCAACCTAGGACCACTGATGTAGCAGTCAGTACCTGTCTATGGGGGAAAATTACCCTATCGTTTGTTAACAGTGTTCAAGACTACGGTATGATACATTATATACAGATAGCTGAAAGCAAAAGTCAGAGGATTCAAAATCAGAGAAGAATGTTTCATCAATCAGATCTGGAAACTAAGTCCAGCAGTAGCTGATCTCAACAAGCTAGGTGATAGGAGCTGTCTTGCACTAGAACTAAGCGATGTAATATAATCCTGGCCTAATACAAATTCTATCATCTAATACGCAAAGTTTTATGTATAGCAATTGTCTGCAACGGGTATTTGCTTCATTAGGGCCATAAGGATGAGCTCCACTATGTTTTGAAGTGTGCATACGACACCTTTGCTTTTGTTAAATTCTTTGAATAGTAAATCAGGATTTGCTAGTGAATCAAAACACAACTACTCGTCAAAGCCTAGAAAATGCATGTGATGTTCAGATAATAACCTTAATTACAAATCCTGGAGCTAAATCTTTGCCTATTACCTGTTGCACAAAAGCAGCTTGCTCCCCAGATTCCATTTGCTGGGTTTGAGTATCCTCATCACTGTCCGGTGGCTCCTCTTTGACCTTCACAGCCCCCGCCTGCTGTCCTATTCTGTCATCCTCACCAGCACTGCTGCTCTCAGCCCTAATGCTGGCCCCACTAGCGGGAGCTCGCTCCTCCTGCATTGAGTGATCTCCATTCAGCTCTTCTTCAGCTTCCTCCAGGTGGCTGCCAGGCTGCTTTAGCTGCTCAATGGATTTGGAGAGCATCTGGAAAGAGATGGAGGGGGAATAGTTACTGACTGCTTTCACCAATGTAGAACACTGGGAAGTACTAGACACCAACAAAATTACAGCTTCTAGTGCAAGCTCTGCATCACTAAAATATTAGTTTATGAAGAAAAAAAGAACCGAAATTCCTAAGTTAAAGGTCACTTGTTATGCTGCAATAGAAAATACTGTATTTGTAATGAGTGCTATATGGTAATACTTAAGTAAAAATTGGGTAGAATAATGAAAGCATTGTAACACATCTATTACATTGTTGCTACTGGTAATCAAAAGTAATTAGCTTCCCTTCATACTCTTCAAACAAAAATGCAGAAATTTATTTAACTATATTACTGTTCATTTTTCCCAACCCAAAACGATAAAGGAGCTCTAAGAAATAAGTGAATTAGTAATCTGGTTAATATTTTGCTATAAGTAAATCAGGGAAAGTTCCTACAAGCTTATCCACTAATTACTGTATGCAGGCCCCAATAGACACAGAGGAGCAGTCACTGCTCCCTGGCGCAGAGACTGCAAGGATGTTTGGCCCTGATTGAAAGACTGCAGCCCTTGTCATGCATGGTACAAGTTCTTTTGTCTCAGCAGTAATGATATAGTACAATTACTCAGAAAATGCTGGTTTTACACCATTAACCATTGTAAAGCTTTGCTGAGGTACCAGATGCCTGGGTGCTGCAATCAAACCTAGTTTATGCTTTCTTACTGAAGATTTTGCGTATGGATTTTTTTTTAGGGGTAATGGGAACAAAATGACTTACTAAAAAGAATTAAGTAAAAATTCCTTTTAATTGCTGTGGACACTGCAGAATCACAACATATGCATCCCTCATTCTGCAGGTGGTATGCTCTAAGCTGAGGAAACTTCAATACTGCAACCAGTGCAGAGCATCTCCTTTTAATAAGGAGAATCTGGAAAATTTCTCAGATCAGACTCAGTTGTTTCTTGGGGGATGATACTGACCAGGAAGGCTCTGAAGTGAGCTACATGTATTCAGACCAGGTACACTATTCTGTAACATCTGTGGGTGATCCCTCTCCACTCCTCTGGCATGAAGAAGAAGGAAAGCCTGGCTGCCTGGCCAGCGATCAAATACAACTAAAACATCTGTGTGACAGATAATCATATACAGCCACAAGAGTCACTAATGCTGATCCATTTGTAAAACATTCCATGTGCCAGGTACTTGACATCAGGTGCACTATTCTAGAAAAGGAGTGCAGGTCCACAGAAAAGACACATATTTAACTCATTGCTGCTGCCCTTTTATGCTTTTTCACTTTAATGTCAGATGCTTTCTTCTTCTTGCTGCTATATGCACAGAACTTCAGTACCACTGAGCTTTCTGATGCAACATGTGATGTCCTACAGTATATAATCTATACATAGAATGCTTTAAATTCCTCTTGAGTGAAATCAGTGGGGAGATACAAGCATATGTTAAGGGGCTGTGAGACCAGCGTGGTTTTTGCATGCATTTCAGCTTGCAGTGTGCCTGTTTTGGGGTCTACTCCCTCACCATGGAAATCAGTAGGAGATTTGCTCCAGACTGATGACAGGAAGAGCTAAACACATTAAATCTTCTAAAATTCTATGAGATTAAAGTGTTTATTTTCACAAGAGATTTTACAAAGTGCATAAATACTACCAGCTTTCATGCAAAATCTTATGAAGGGTATCCTTTATATTGTGACTTAATGGTGGAAATGAGAATGAAAGCAAGCCTCAGGCAAGGGGCTAGGAGGCACTAGAGTTGTCCTCTCATAGGGCAGAGCATAACAACAATGAAAACCTGAAAACCTGAAAAAGCACTCCTGTTGCTCAGTCTGCTAAGCTACAGCAAGCCCATATCACTGTATCTCCATAACACCACCACACCTTGGTACTTGTTAGTGTGGTTCTTAAAGGCAGCTTGCCCTGTTTTATTCCAGTAATTACATTAGTAATGGACGCTGTTCAATTCTCCTAAGACAGCAGCATCTTTTTTTTTATACTTTTATCTCCTGGCCCTACTGCAGAAAATTGCATATCTGGAGACACACAAAGATAGCAGATTACAGTCAATATTTCTATCTTATCTTCTTTATCTAAAGCTGGATTACACAGCAGAAAAAAAAGCCCTGAATGAAGCACTGCCCAAGTCCTTTCACAATGCAGCTGGATACTTCTGCTTACACTTAACATTTAAATCTTTCACTTTAAATCTCCACTTACCACTGTTTTTTCTGAATTTATCTGCAGATACAGTGAAGGAATTTCTCGTGTTTTTAATGCACATTTATCATTTTGAGAATGTGATTGCTTAATCTGATTTTTAGTAAAGCTACATTTAAAAATAATAACAAAGGAGTGGTTTACTTCATGAATAAATTAGTTGTACAGACTGGTCTTCTTAAACCAATATACATTCCAGCTATTGCTATTCCAACTAAAGTTACTTAAAAAAAAAGGCTTACATGCTAATGTAACCTATATTTTTTTCCCTTTTATTTTCAGGAAATTAAACTGTAAGGATTGGCATGAGCCAAAGTAAATAGTGGCAGCAGGAGATGAAGCATTTACACACATCAACTCCATTGTATAACTGCAAGAGTCGGACAAACACAAAGTCCAAAAACAATCAAACCTGCTTGGCTGTACAGGAAAATGGATGATGAAGCACAAATAATCTGGACCCTGAAACAGACCACTTTATAGGGCCTCCAGTTGCAGCCACTGTCATTGTGTCTCTTTTGTAATAACAAGCTCTTGTAAAATTGATTTAAAATAAAATGTGCTTACAAAGAGACAAAGCACAAAATCCTGCTGCAGCCACCACATACATTTCTTTCCTTAATTAACTGATCCTTTCCGAAACACATGGCTGTTGTTTCTAGGAACTCATTTGCATGCTTATGGAAACATTTTTTCTCTTTCTGTGCCACGGCTCTCAGGTTACCCTGACCAGCTATGTAAGTTGTTAGCTGTGCTGAAATAACTTGGAAACTGCTTACTGTTTTCTCATTACTCATGTAGTACACTTCTAAGGGATGCATTTAGCTTTCAAGATCTTTATTCTACATTATGGCTTAAACATTAGTTCTTATTAAAGGACAAAATGCTCTGAGCAGTTTTCAGTTACAAACATGTTTAATCACTGCTGTAGCCTTGTCCATAAAATCCCCTACTATAAGTAATACTTAAAAGAAGCGATGTGTTTCTGCTCTCATCTTCTGAGGATGGAAGTCAAAGAGGTAAGCTGGAAAGCCAGACCTCAATTACAGTATGATTAATGAAACTAGGTTCATTTACTTAAGTTGAACTTGATCAAAACAGTCTTTCTTATTTCATTAAATATCAGAAGAGTGAATGATGAACCTTTGGTTAACTGCTCTTTTCAATATTCCTAACAAATAATCTTCCTACTATTTTGCAACAGTTAATCAATGGAAATAACCCACATTATTTTTCATTTTTATATTAATACACACTGGTCAATTTTGATAATCTGTAGCACTAATGAACATTCACTCCTATACATTTTTTGTCATATAATTTTTACCTCGCAGTCTTGCCCGGTGAAAGATCTTTAAGTTGACTAACAGCCTGGAATGTTAAGGCACTTCTCATTTAATATTTAATGTTGTCAATACTGTTTCTGTACTTTAACGCACACTGCAAATGGCACAAAAACACATTATTTTAAGAACATTTGTAGGGTTCCCATACTGACCAAATGAAATCTTGGTCCCAATGAAGATGGTGCAAGTTTAGGTTCAGCAGAGGAATGATTTTATTCATCACTAATAGAGAACAAAAAAGAAAAGAAACCACACAAAAAAAGCAGCATTTGAAGTCTGAGGGTTCTGTTTACGTGCTCCTCACATTACAACTTCTGAGATTTTCTTAAACTCAGAGTTCACCTGTGGACTTTGCACTTACATTCATTACCTCAAAATCACATTTTTTTTCTTTTTTCCAGCAAGTGGAAGCACAAAAACTTTTTAGATAAAGAGATACACAAATGGAATCAAGATTTCAGGATTTTTATCGTAGCAGCAGTCTTTTGGTACCTGATTGCAATAATTTTAGCTAGAGGTTTCAGTCTTTGGTCTCCCTTTACTGAGCAGAATGAAGTTCTATAATGGTGATCAAAGGGCCTTACAAGGAAATAAGCTGCAAGTTGGATAGAAGCATATTAAAGCTGACAATGGCAAAGTCAAGCTCTCCCGAGACAAGCAGAGTTCAGGTTACTGCACATTCATTTTCATTTTTTTTTCCCCCAGAAAGCTGGGATGCAAGTTTCTACCTACTTTTGGACATGATGTCAACTTATGCAACATGTTTTTAGGAGGTCAGCATACTAGATCCTGCAGGTATCCCATTTCCAACATCAAAAGCCTGGCATCTGACAGCTGAACAGAAATAATCCATAGGGGATCTTCTCTTTGTTATTAAGGACAGAGGCACACCTCTTGGCAATGATTTGTTTCTATTCAGAATGGAAATGATCCAGGGGGATCCTTTACCCCTGACCTGTGTTAGATTTTGCCTGTTATACCCTTATAGCAGCACTGACTTGCAGTTGAAGTATATGAGCTTGTATGAAAGAAATCACTGATACATAAAAGATAAATAGAAGATCGATAGGGTGGGGAGAGACTGTTGCACTTGTCCTCTTTTTGTTGTTACCTAATGGACCAAATCCATTTTTCAAGGATTGCTGACACATGCCACATCATCTCAGCTCAGAGAAATAACTTAAATAACAGATTCAGATTAAATATATATTAACTCCTTAAGCATTCGAAGTCCTAAACACAAGGAGAAAAGGAAAAAGAAATAGAAAATGAATAGAATGTCTTAACTTGTTCTAAGCTCTTGATCAACTTGCATTTCATAGTCTTGTCAGCTAAAAATGGTCCTTGTATTTCTAATCAAACATTTTAAAAAATGTCTGAGTACTCCTCATTAAACAAAATATTTTTTCAAGACTGTAAGCAGGGAATTATACCTCTATGAGTTTTCAATGTAGGGCCTATGTACAGAATAGTGAGGGATAGAGAAGTGGAAAATAAATATATGTATTCACTCAATACATGCTCAAACTTGTTATAAGAAATGAGATGTTGAGTTGCTTTGCTACATGGCCTAGAATATCTCATTCTAACAATCAGAGAACTCTGCTTTGCAGAGTTCAGGTTTGATTTTAAGAGCTCTAGAAATGTGTTAGGTTGGGTAATGAATAAATAACACCAACTGCAAATAAAGGCAAGGTTCAACAATGAACAAAGTACAGTCTATCCTGCTGCAGGAGTTCAAAAACATTATGCAAGCACAGGTGCTCAATCTAAACCTTTAATTTAAAGACTTAAAGAATATAATTTTAAATTCAGTACTTAATAGCCACTTCCTGATTTGATCATTTCTCACCACTTCTCTACTACCTTAAATGCCAGTTTTTAGAAAATCACATTTATTTTAGGTAAGTAAGAAAGCACTTGGCTTTCTGTATTCTTGCAGAGAACAGACGTGTGATTGGAGCACGGTCAATTTTAGGACTACACAGCAGATTGGATCAGGGAACAGTATAGTAGAAGAACCTTGTTACTGCAGACCATAAAAAGTCTGATAAACTACCCACATCCTCACATAATTCACTGCTTCTGTAGGTGCAGCATGATCCTACTCCTCCTCAGGTGTCTGCTGCTCTGATGAGAGACTGTGGTCCTGATGAAAGCTATCTTCTCTGGGAGTAGAGATAGAGAAAATTGAGCTAGCTGGAAGAAGGAAGTATGCTGTGATATTTCAAGGCAGTGAAAGGCCCTGGGATAAATTTCTAGTATCTACATAAGTATATAGTCTACAGTGTAGACAATAAAAATTAGGTTTACTAGGCTTTAAGGGAAGGAATCGTATTGTCTCTTTACTGCAAATAACCACATGAGAATGGAAGCATATTTCTAGTGTGTTTTGTTCTCAACATTTATTTTCACTGCAGTTTAACACGGGGAAAAAAAGAGTTATTAAAGCAGCATTATCTCATGCCAATTGAACTCTTTTTTAGTTCTTTTCCAGCCTAAATCTAGTGAGGTGCAATGAATGCAGTTCTAGTCATATGTGACTAATATATATACATGACTCAAGTTTAATTTTCACTTTCAAGACAAATATATCTAGATGCCACAGCATGTACCCCCAAATGCTATGGTAGAAAGTACATCAGTAAGCATATGACCTGACAAAAACATGTCACTGTGTTCTTTGCTTTGTGAAGAATGCACAACCAGTAACTGACTAGATTGCAGTGAATACCCACAAACAGCACAAAGACTCAGTACTTCACTGGTAAAAATCCTTTTCAGACAACTGAGGGCAGGTGAAATATTTTCAAAACCTGAGGCTACAAGATATACATATGCCATCTTGATTAAACATATGGAATGCATACTCAAAGAAAAGCCAACTGGAGTCCTAGTTGAGTAATCAAAACACCCAAGCTGAGAGGGGTTAACATGCAAGGATCAGCATTGAACTTTGAAGTTTTCTGGTCTTCATTTTTCCTAATTAAGGCAAGATTTAATAACCAAACCACTGTACAAACTATGTACTTAAACTCTAGGTTTGTTTCTAATTTTGTTGGGAATTCTTAGTAGATTCCAAAGAATCAGTACCCCCTGGGAAGTTCACCCAGTAAGGTGGATTGATTTTTTTTCTTACTTTCTCATAGGTACAAAGATTGAATGTCCTGCTTTTCATCTTTTCTCCTTTGCAATTAGTTCTTTTGTATATTTTCTAAATAACTCTCAAGAAAAACAAGAAAAGTAAAGATTTATGATTACTACAACACTGATTTAGTCAAGAAGCTTGAGGAAACATTTTTGGGGAGATTATGTAGTAAGAGAAGAAAAAGGTTTTTCAGATAAAAGTATTTAATTACTTGCATATCTTCATTTTAGAGCGGGGAATGGTATCACATCTGCTGTAGAAACATTTGCCCCAGAGAAGCCTATCTAGATACTGCTGTACTTTGTTTAATGGTGGCTGGTCATTTTTTTCTTTCTTTCACTCAGAAAAATGTGTTACTCTACAGGGAAACAGGCATAGTTCAACTCTGTATCTGATATGAGCCATAGCAAATCCTTCTCTTTCTCTATCACTGGTATTTTTATATTGCGATATAGATAACAAGCTTCTGCATTACTGCTAAATTTACAGGAAGTTGATTTGATAAAAGCTGGTTAAAATTTCTTCAGATGATCAATACATTTTTAATAAAAACAAGATAAATTTGATCACTTGATTTACTTCAAATGAATCATGTATTTACTCCACACAAAATTCCATTGTGAGTAAACCTAAACTACGATTCAGCAGCTGAATTGAATGATCTCTGAAAGTGGAAATGGCAAATTAAAAAAAAAAAGTTGGATAGCAGAAATACAGTATCTGTAAGACATCATTCGACAGTCAGCAGGAAAGCATTTGCAGTCTAAACCTAAAAGATTCTTTGATCCCTATTTCACTGAATTGTATTTTTATTGACGCTAGCAAGCATAAACAAATCTTGTACCACATTTCAGAAAAATGAAAATTGAAGACCTATGCACATGTGTACACAGTATGCATAAGCAAGGTACTCATGCAAGAGCTTGTTTATTCTCATCTACCACATGACCCCAGCATCTACACTTCACTATTACTTTTCAACATGTATATTCATTAAAAATTACTTTCTTTGGGACCTCACCTTATTCATGTGGATCTGTTGCTGGTACTGTTTCTGCTTCTCCAAAAACTGTTGATGTTGCTGTTGGATGACCAGCTGCGCCAAAGTGCTCTGAGGAAGAGGAGCTGACTGGGTTCGATTCAGAGGCCTGTGGCGAGGCAGTTTGTGGGCAGCTCTTATGCCAGGTGAGACTCTTTCTTTTGCTGCCAAAGGAGACTGGGGATGAAGAGGAACCGCTCCTGCAAAACCATGACATTTCACTCCAGTGTGAAGAAAAATAAACTACTAGTTCTAATAGAAGAGTAAGAAGAGGGGTGTATGCTGCAGAACTTTGCATCAATGCTGATGCAGAGGGAAGTATACTATACGCCTAGCCATGCTAGGAAGTTCAGCAGCTGCAAAAGAATGTGATGAAGTAATCATTTTCTCTTTACTGTAATCACAGAATCCTTTGAGGCTAATGGAGCAGAATCACTGAAGTGGGAAAACAAACATGCTATCCTTTCTTTTCCCCCACCCTTCCTCTTTTTATAACATCTAGAATAGAAATGTCATTAAAAACATCTAAAATGATTATTGTGTTGAAACTTTGATCATTACCAGTTACAAGAAGTTTCTGTTGTCTCATCTGTTCTTTCAGTAACAGATGTTGCAAGAGAGCCTGGTGGCTGCTGTTTGGTTTTCCCTCCAAAGCAACATGAGGATGAGTTGAAGATGGGGGAATATTCCCCCCATACTGTCCAGCCAAGGCCACTCCTGGTCTGAGTGTCTGGGTCTCTCCCTTCTGCTTTTCTTTGAATGATGATGAAGCCTGTCAAGACACAATGACACTGGTAACTGCTTTTCACTGTCTTGGCCACTGTTATCTCCACTTGATTAGATGGTCTTATATATACTTTCTGAATACAGAAGAAAAAGTTAAAATCTTTCTCTTGCACTTTGAATGTGAGATGAAAAGGGAGGAGGAACAAGCACTGCAAGAAAGAGCAGCTAAGAAACTAAGCAACTAACTTTTGGGGGCTTACTTTATGCTTATTTTATACTCTGCCATCACCTTTCCCTGAAGAATAAACACCAAAGTAAACTTTACATCCAGTTTGCAACTACTTCTTCTGCTAAGAGAAAAAGACAATATTTGCATAAATCAACCCTTTTGTTTTTTCAAGTGCCAAAAGTAATATTTGGGGCCAGCTGACTATATCAAAAAGCTCACATCACTTGAGTGAGAAAATTAAATATATTTTCATTTCCTTTTTTAATGTTCTAAAATTACTTTGAAGTTAGATTTTATTTTACTTTATTGTTTGTGAAATAGCTATGAAATTTTTGACAACATGATCTGGAAAAGTAACTACTACTTTTCATGATCAATTCAATTTTTCCATCCCTTAAAAGCAATAATTTGCTTATAAGTATCCCATGAAAGACTTCTAGAGAAATGATTTAAAGCCTACAGAATTTTCCTTTCAAAGTTCTATGTCTGATTTTAAATGCTGCACTGCAGCAAATTGCTATTGGTTAAGGGTACTAAAAAAAGCCATTAAATGGCAAGAAACTTTAACCTGAAACTACATTAAGCACTAGAATTGTGCAGTACTTATTACAAACCATAGTAGACTGTTTAGATACATATTTTTTTTACACACTGGAAATCTAGAATTTTTATAGAAGTTACCAATTCATTTTCTGTAGAATATGAATTACTAAAATTTCTTCAAAATATATGCAGTGGTGTATAGAAATAACATATTATGATGATGATTTTTGCAGGAAATCAAGGAGGCTAAGTTTTGACCAGGATAAAAATTAAAAGTTCTTTTACTGAGCCTCAGTACTTTTTTTTTTTTTTTTTTACTTCTAGATTACTGTAAATTTGGCTAATCTAACGATCCTTCAACATCCATCAACATGACTTCAATACTTTTTATCTCTTTTCTCATACATTTCACACCCTAATTTAACACTTAGCTCTAAATAGACTTGATTGCTGCAGATTGAACAAAGGATATATGAATGTAACTAGTCATTAAATGTTGCTTACGTATTTACAAATTTGATTTATATGATTAAGCCCCCCAAAGAAAAACAAACTTAGCTGCAGGAATGCTGGATTCTTCCTCTGCTATGCTTCAGCCCAGCTTAGATTTCCACTGGCATCTCATTATAGAATGTTACAGGTGCTATGCTTTACCAGGTAGGAGGGATTATACAATTTGAACTTTTATGCTCAATGGTCTCCTTCAAGAACTTTTTATCATATCTGAAGTTTGTTATCATTCTTACAGATAAAACTGCAATACATATGGCCCATACTTAGCTAAACTTCACATCAGCTCTTATTTCAGATTAAGAATAAGAATTGCTTTCAAGTTGTTCCTCTAAAATTTTAGATACTGCCCAGTGCAAAGAAAGGTCTGGCACCTACTCTGGTTTGCTTGTGCTCCAAAAAGGAGAAAAGGCAGAAAGCAGGTTTTCTCAGAGAAAAAGTAGGAAGAAAAAGTAGGGGGGGAAAAAAAGTAGGAGCAAAATAAAGGTAGGAGAAAAAGTAGAAAGGCTTAAGATTGATCACTTACGCTGATTTGAGATTGTACAGCTGGAAGTCCCAAGGTAATGTTGGGCAAAGAAGGGGATGTGTACAGACTCAACAAGTTCACTGATTCATCCTGTATCAAAAGGCGTTGCTGTGAAACCAGATGCTGAAATAAAGAGGAAAAACAATATACATATAACCTCCAAGCTCTTTTTTAATCTTGGCAACTTCATGCCTATTATGCTGCTATATTTAAAGCCAGTTATGTGCTGTGGATAGACTTGCATCACAAGGAGATTGAAGATAATAGGTACTGTCCTTGTAAAGAAAGTATTGATATTTTCTTTCTTAAGAAAACATCTGAAATGCACCTAAGCTAATGCATTGGCTAATAAGTCAAATTTCTACTCAAATCCAAATGCTTGAGGATTCCTAGTTCATCTCTTCTCTCAGCAACTGCACTTTTACTACTTAAAAGATCATTGGGATTTTAGCCAATGAATTATGGATTACATCTAGACAAATCAAAAGTGTCATGAATACAGATGTATTAGACCTCTACCACAGCTAATAACATTGCTGATGTAAAATACGAAAAATGGCTCCTACCTGGACTATGCATTATTTACCCATATTGTGAAAGAAGACATTTCAAGCACATTATTAATTTCCATTGACATGGGAATTAGGGGTAGAAAGAAAGGCACATTAGCCCTTAAGAAAATATACCTTGTCTATCTCTGCGTGAACACAAAGAATGGAATCCCATCATTCTCTGATGGTGGAATACCCCCTCACAACTTTCGTAATTCCTGTAAATTTAACACTTGTTTCAAATCCTCGTGATATAATTTCAAGGGACATGGAATTGCTGATATAGCTAATGTCAAGTAAAATCAGGCATACTCCAAAGATCACCCTCCATCTTTCCATTTTAGATTCATTGGGAAGAAATATAAAAAGTTACATTACTGCAATAGGAATATTTTCAATGCCCTTGTGTTTCTGCTTTAACAGTCATGTTTTTCAACATGTGGTCTAGGATAGTTGCTTGACTTACGTTTTCTCTTTAACTCTTGCTTCCCTCCCAGAACTTTAACACAATGAGACCTACAAAGGTCTTATTAGACTTAGGAACTCTGGCATGATATGGTCCCCAAGGGAACAACATCCTTGAAAAAGAATACCCCGTGTAACAGTATGACACAGTGACTGCTTTCTTCCCAAACAAAAAGCATATGGGACTCCAATAATAGACCACCTCCAAGAGGGATACTGCACACTCGGGCTTTGACTAAAGTAAATATAATAACTTGTCAAGCATGTTGTGGGGAGCTGTAGATTTTCCCCTGGACAAACCTGGAATATCAATTAACTCTGTAAAATACTTTGTGCTAATACAATGCAACTACAGACCATCAATGAAAAGTGGTTAAGCACAAAAACACAGGATGTTATTGCAAAACATAACCTTCCTCATACAGTTTGTTTGGAGATATGACCTATCACTGAGACAAAAACAGAAAAGTCTATCTCTATAATTTTCTTTTGGTACCTAGGGAATGTCAACAGATAGCATACGAAATAAAGAAGTTTCACTTGTATGTTACATTAATTCTTAGCTAACAGTGTCTTGCCTTGATAAGATCCACCTTTGACTCTGATTAAAGCCAAATAAATCAAGACAATGGAGATAGAACTGAGGAAGACTATGAAGATTTGACTGCAAATGGATGCTGTAGCAACTCTAATGTCAAATTTCTATTCATCCACTGCAGTATTTATGCAGAGCCATTGCAAAAATGCATTTCCTTTTTGGTTTTCAGAATGTCGCTATTACTTCCTTATGATTTGAAGTAACAAATGTAACCATGACAGGGTTTATAACAGCAAAATGTATTCCCACAATAAGATCACGCATGACTGTTAAAGGAGGCAGCACAACCGATAAGTTGTGGTCCTTAATGGGTTGGATTGAAATCTAAATTATGCCAAAGAGCAACTACTTTATTGCTCCTCCGTATACTTACTCACTGAATCTATGGATTCTGTTTCCTGATGTGCCTAAAATAGCCTTCCAACACAGTTACGCTCTTTCTTGAAATAGAAGTACGATAACTAAATGTAACAGCGAATAGTTATCACCAGGATTAGTTAATAAGTTATCACCTACATTTAGTTATCGTGCTCTATTTTGTTGCCAGGGCCTGCTGAGAAGTGGGAACACCTACTTTATATGCCCATTTATACATTAGAAGGGGAAGAGGAAATGGTTTGGCTTTAAATACTTGCAACTTGTTGAGATATAATCATAGAATGGCTTGGGTTGGATGGGCCTTGAAGATCTTCCAGTTCCAATCTTCTGCTAGGAGTAGAGTTGCCACTCATAAGATCAGTCTGCCCAGGGCCACATCAAATCTAGCCTTGAGTGCCTCCAGGGAGGGGACACCGACAACTTCTTTGGGTAGCCTGTGTCAGTGCTTTACCCCCTTCTGATTAAAGAAATTCTTCCTAACATCTAGACTAACTCTTCTCTCTTTTATTTTAAAACCATGTAAAAACTCAGTCTCAGCCTTATTTATAAGCTCAAATATGTGTATATCTGCCATACATGTCATTTACGTCTCGTGTGTAAGGTGATATTCTAGGCAATTTTGCTCTCCAAATAGCAAATGAAAGAGAAATAAAATGAAATCAAGTAGAAACTCCCCATTACCTTCATTGGCTTTTGACCAGGTTGTGCATTCTTAAAATGAATTAGTTCACGTGACTATGGCAAATTGTCTCTCTGAACTCAAGAGACATGCTGTGCAGGGATCAGTCCTGCCTGCACCTCTCATGCAAGTAAGATTTAGCACAAGCACAGCAGGTGACTTGAAAGCATACGACACACCACAAGAGTCAAACAGCTACTGCGGTGAACCTTGATGCTGCTGGAGAAACCTGGGCCTAATACAAAAAACAACTTTATTTATAAGGTGCAATTAAGATCTTGAGTTTAACTTTTAAGTTTCACATAATGAAACCAATGTTTTAACAAATGTTACTGAAAGTACCATTAGGGGAACTGTGATAGCAAAATATTATCCGCCTAAGTGCATCAAATGCAGTGCACCTTTGTACATTCAAAAATATATAAATGTCTGCCCAACAGACTGTACTCCAGAGGGTAAACCACATAGAAGTCTAATTATTCAAATGGGTATGGCAAAACTACTTCAAAAATTTGTTTCATTACCGATAATGCTCTGATTTTGTCTATGTGCTGGAGTGTAATCATTTATGGTATTGACTCATGCTTTACTGGTAAATGGCTTCGTCATAGCAACCTGGTTTTCCTCAGCAAAAAGTTTTATTTGCTGCCACGAAAACCACAGCTATCCACCCACTCAGATACGAGTACAACACTTACTGCAAATGTCAGACCGATTATTATGAAACAACAGCAACGTGAGTCATTCAGGATTACAGCAAAACAAGTGATAGTTTGGGTGATTTTGGAACGCATAGCCTGTTATTAGAAACTTCAGTACTTTGTGTATCTGATGAAAAATTGATTAGATACATAGCCTTTGAGAGTTGGCAGCTAGTGCTAAACTAGCAAAGAGATATGTAGCAATTTGGTTGCTGTTAAACTACCAAAGAAAATCCCACTGAAATCAAAATGCACTGAAGTTGAGATTTATGGAAAAATTTTGAGCCCACAGGACCACAGTATTAACAGTCAAGTAACCAGAGAGGTAATGAAATCTCTGACTGTACCCAGAAATGGAAGTCAGTAGTTTCAGCATCTTAGCCCACACCCAGCAAGCTAAGTGACTGACTCCAGCATACAGAAATTAAATTTAAAGGGAACTTTTTAGTCTCATTTGAAAATTTTTAATTGTACGGAATTAAAACAGTGGATATCTGGCATAGCAATTGTGACTGATACGTTCTATTAACAGAAACTAAAGTTTGGTATAGTCTTTCCAAATATCCCCAGACAGAATGCCAGTCTGACTGGACTGAATGCTTTTCTGATGTTGGTTCAATGCTGTGGGCAAATGGCCAGAAACTAAAATATGCACCATAACAAACACTGAATCAGTATTCCCTTTGAATTTTGTAGTATCCTCAAGTCAAGACAAAATCCAACTGAATATGACTTCCTGTTTAATACAGCATTAACAGCGATATATGACAAATTTCCTAAAAATGTATCATTTAATACAACTGAATCTAATCCAAATGATGGATCTTGCTCTGCATCATTTAAATTTTTTTTTGCAATCACATACAGAGGAGCTATGAGGCAAGACCACATGTTAGCCATCAATGCAATTTTTTTTTTTCTTTTTGGTTACGGGCCAGAGAGAGGCTACTAATCAGTGTGCAGAGGTCACCCACCTGCCCTCTGGATCATAGTTCACACACACAATTAATTCATTATGGGGAAAAGTCACTGCTGGAGGTTGAACTGCCCATTCCAGGTTTTTTTGAGGTGAATGTCCTGCCACTGACCTAAAGAAATAGCTCCCTTAGCTAAAACTCTGTTAAATCACGTTTTCTTATGCAATTTTTTTTTTCTAACATAAACAGTATAAACAAACAATTAGAACATTTTGCTACAAAAGTAAAAATTGCTATAGATATAGGCACTGGATACAGAATATTTCTGAATTTCAATCTGTTCAGTTGCATTGATTTTTTGTACCTTTACAAAATTACCATGAAAAGCATGATTTATGTATGATATCTGTGGTAAATGAAGTTTATCAAAACTGATTTACCATCTGCGTTCCTGTCATTATAGGCACGTTTGAATGAAACAGAATAATGAGTAATTAAGATTCCTTTCATGTACAATTTAGCTTCACAATACAAGAATCAAAAGCTCCTCACACATTGGTTATATTGGTAAGCACTACACAGATAAGGAAACTGAGGTGCACTGAAATAGAAGGCAGATGTGAAAAAGGACTTAGTCACCTAACTCTGACACTCTACTCAAATAAATGCACTCTGACAGCATCTGAACCTGGGAATGCCTCATTTCCTACATGTTAGTCACTGATGATGAAGTCGCTGTTTTGCTTGCAGAAATTCTTCATTAGTGTTCAGCATTGTGCACTTCTTCAAATTATCCTGAAAGGTAAGCCAGATCCCTATTTCCACCCACCCACAGCAATCTGAGATCCTGAAATATAGGTAAAGCTTTGCTTTTCTGTATCATCTGGTAAGAGGGCTGTAGTGACACTGTGACATCACAGTGACTGTTCATTCCATGTTAACTTTTTTTTGTCTCATTAGTTCTCTGTGTCCTTCCTCTCCAGTTTATTTTCAAATGTCCTTCAACATAGATGCTTTCAATTTTCTTCCACAGCTTCCTCCAACGGCTGTGGCAGTGCCACTGCTGCTTTTGTAACCAGAATCTCTTTATATGCTGGCCTCTTTTGTAGAATGTGCATCTCATTCATAACATACTCTGCTGTCAGCATGCGGTGTCCTGATAACCCCAATAATTATAACTGCTGTAATAATTCTGCTTGTAGGTATATGCAAAGTGAAGTTTCAAATCTTTCCAGTCTAGAAGTCTGAGCAACTATCTACTCAAGGAAAAGAAAGAGTCTTACCTCAGCTTGAATGCTAGATGGCAAAACCGAGGTTTCACTTTCTGTTATACTGCTGGTTGGACCATTGCTTGGGGAACTGGGACCTGATCCAGGGGAGCTGCTACTGACTGAGGATTCTAAAAAATAGAAGAAGCATACATGAATTCATGGTTTGCACCAGAAGGACAACATAGAACTTCAATTAATTGTATATACTGTATGGCACAGGGTGGGATTCTTGGCTGTTGAAAAGTATCTACCGGTTATGAATGAGCTATTTACTTACACTGCAGATTTCTATTTCACTCTCAGTTTCTTTTGTTTTTCCTTTTACAGTGCTAATGTAATATATTCTTGGTCTTTTCCCTTCTGATCTCTCTGCTTCACAAGGAGTGATTTAAATTAATTACTTTTACAAAAATGGTACGATAATTAGTATTAGGTAGAGATATGATTTGTAAAAAGTAAAAAGAAAAGATAGTCTTTTCTTTATAATTGTATAGAATCCTGCCTCTGTAAAAGATCAAACTGACAGAGATAGAAGGCTTACAAAGGTCACAATAATGTGTCATCAATTCATGAGGCCTACTGCCATTCTTTGACTACAGAAATAGTGCTGGACATGCCCGTGGCAGTCAAAGCTTTACACATGCAAGTACCATGACATGACAGAATATACGCCATTTTCACTGTATCTTTAGTGCAGATATAAAAGAATATTGGCAGTATACAAACCCCTTAAAACAGCATTTTAAAGTCTGTATGTTACATTGATTTAAAATGTCCTTAGTTCTGTTTAATAGAAAGGGCTGTGTGTTGTTGTATTGCGTTATTATAATTCTTTACTGAGATAAACAAAAGTTCTGCACACGGTAACAACTAACGAGGTTAAAGATGATAGAGTGTGGCATTAGCACAGATAAGACTGCCTCATGGGATACATTTCAAATGCAAATCTCCAAGAAGTTGAAATAATAAGTATCTAAATGTGGTAGTAAATACACTATGGTTACTTCTCTCTTTCTCAGTTCATTTCCAAAAATACGTCCTCACTGTGACCATTGGTAAGGGGAGATTTCTTGGCAGTATTTTGGATGTACTGCTGTTTCCTGTTAGAGCTGATTTCAATTTATTGAAGTGAATCAGTGCCCAGCTATAATAGCTGGTCAGGTAGGATTCCTGCATTATTTTCTCACTAGTTTTCATAGAGCACTACAAAACCAATTTTTTTTCTTCTGTTTTTGAATAACTATAATAGCACTTTTATGTAAGTAATCATTTTCAGTTAAAAGAGATTTTAAAATAAAGGCAAAAAAAATGCTTCAGCTGAAAGTTAGATTAGGGAAGCTTTGGTTATAAAGCTGCAGAATATTAACCAGATATTAATAACTGAAGTGGTGATCTGTAATGCTCAGAATTATTGATCCTCTCCTCTCCTCTCCTCTCCTCTCCTCTCCTCTCCTCTCCTCTCCTCTCCTCTCCTCTCCTCTCCTCTCCTCTCCTCTCCTGCTTTCTTTCTTTCAGCAAATAGAAATAATAAATCAGTTGTAAAAAAAAAAATCTGACACGGAATTTATAGACAAATCACCTTATTTAGTTACTTTGATACATTCAAATATGTGTCTCGGTTTTACACCAAATAAGTTGTTAAAAGTTGTCATGAGAATTGCATTGATGGGAACACCAGAATGAATTCACTCATTTGTTTTATACTTCCATCTTGTTGTGACATAATTCTGATATTCCAAATAAATTCAGACAAGTATGACAGTTTAACTATTCACTGTACAAACATATGTAATATTACTTAAATAAGCAACAAAGGTACTCAATACAAACGTAAAGTCAAAGCAAGAAATATTGAATGCTGTAAATGTTCTTTTCTTTCAGATCAAAGAACAGGGCAACATGCTGCTCCTCAGCAATGAAATGAGAGGATTTCAAACTGTTTGGGAGCTGTGGTGTGATTCAACAAAATAATATACATAACATAAATTGCAACTCTACAATGACAAGCAGGTGGAAGAAAGTCTTAGAATCCACTATTCATTCAGCCTTTCACTCTTTTTAGTTCAAGGGCATAAATAATACTGAAAGAAAAACTACTTGAAAACAAAATTTTATTTGCATTTTTTCCCTTTAATCTCTTGAGAATCTCTAAGAATGCTGTATTTTTACATGCTAGCAGTTCCCCTTTAATTACCAAGAATTCTATCAGCTGTGGTCAAGTATATGCTACTATTAAAACATTTCAACTTTTCCTGCTGAAAAGAACAGCTTAGTGAGCCCTACTTTTCTTTGCTTATTTCATTACTTATACCACCAATAATTTATCATTTATTTGTTCTACTACTGACTGTTGTAAAGCATTGAAACAGACTGCAAATAATGGCTTTCAAATGGACAATAACTATTTAGTGAGTGGTAGAAATTACAATTTACACATGCACAATGATTTCTTTAATATTGTTTTCTTTTCAGCAGCAGAAAAAGAAATAGTAAATAAAAAATCCAGTATACTATCTTAGGAAACATTTTATTCATGTCTGCAAGTAGTTGCAGTGAAGACAGAATTTCTCCCTTCTCCATTACCTGTCACCTCAAAGAGTCGCTTCTTGAACGAGCTGACAACATTTCCATCCTTCCTCCTCAGTAAAGGACTGCTTCGCCTTTCTGTTACCTTTTGTTTTAACCTTGAGCGTACCTTCAAATTGGGCTCTGAAGCTGGAAATGAAAAGAACAAAATCAATGTTTTTAAGACAAATTATTGCTTTGCCCAGATACCACTGGAATTCCCTACAGGACCTCATCTGATCCAAGTAGGGCTCAGAAGCAGTGATTTTATTGCCCATCGTCACCATTCATTCTGCTTCTCCTCATACAACTCCATCGTAGACTACAGACTGAGAATGAGAGAATGGGCACTGAAAAGTTTTGAATGCCAATACTCTTACTACTTTCAACTTCACCTCCATTTCACCTTCCTCTAATCCTCTTCCAAAGTAACAACTTCAAAATGAACTTGTATTGACGAGGATGACTCTGTTCCCCACCTGTCTTAACTCTAGCAGTAAACAGCAGAGAGGAGAAAACAGTATTTTTATGCTATTTCCTTAACATCAAAGTGAAATAGAGTTTTTAAAAATTGCAAAGTATACATTTAACATATAGTTTATAAAGTTAATGTTGGTTTGTTCTTTTCTCTGCCTCTAAACATTTCTGTTTCCTTATATAGTCTTTTATTCATGGGGCAGATACTAAGCTACTAGAGCAAAATATGCAACACTAGAGCAATATGCAACAGTTAGAAATGAATTTTAGTTGTAACTCACTGAGTTAAATTCTTTCTCTCCCCAAGGAACTAACCACTATGGTTTTTTCTCATCCCATTTCAAATCTAAAGTTACCTGTTAATTACCATTAATATTGGTATTAATAATAGATGAATGAAACTTGCATTCTACATCATTTTTATCTCCCTTGAAGGTGAACACTTGGATGGAAATACAACTTGGAACTTGGAACCTTATAACTGGATTACGGTCTGATGACAGAAATAGAAAATAGCCTCCACTGGTGCCTTTTGATTTCTATTAGAAATATAACTTATGACAAGACTTGCTGGCAGAACATTTCTTGGTCAGCAATTTTAGGCCCAGATCTTCAATGTTTTTTCAGTAACACACCAAACAACTAGATTTATTACAGTGTCCTAGAAACGTTTACACAGAAAAATACATGCTCTGAAAATGAAGAAGCAAGATTGATTCCCAGAAAACCTAGGATTATGTTTAATGCACCTTGGGCAAGTTCCACCTTTGTTTTCCATTTGGACACAACCTTTTCATGCTAAGGTCAGAGATGAAGCTCTACTTTGTTTTTTATTCTGTGATATTTTACCTTGATGCTGTATTAAGTCATTTATCTGTTCTTATAAGTAAACCCTCTATCAAGCAAACTACTAAGAGCTAGTGAAAGATAACTGTGGAACAGAATTTGCTTTTATTTCTCCTTCTGGAACTGAAGCTTGGCTAAGCAATATCTCAAAACAGAGAAAGCTGGAAACTGGGATCAATTCTCCCTCCTGCATACAGACCTGAACAAAGCTCCAAAGGAGTGTGCATTAGCAGAAAAAAAATAATAAATGAAGGTTTCATTCAGTTCAGCATTTGTCCATTTGCCTGAGTGCTGCTGTGACCAGCTGTACCCTTTCTCCCTTCATCACACTCTGACACCTTTGCCAAGCTCCCCCTTTAAGCATCCTATGTCTTGAGTACATTTAAAGGTATATGAGCTAAAAAACACTGGAAATCTTTAATGATAAAAAATATTAAAAAGAATTTTCAGTTTTACCTGTTACTATCATAATTGACTAATGGTTCTACTGACAGAGATGACTTGTTTGCTGAGGTACCTCTTTGTATGAAAACACAGAAATAGGATAAGATTATACAACACACTGTCATCACAGAGATCATTTAAGTATGAGGAAATTCAGAAGAAAAGGTGCTGACTCAGTTTGCACTTATGGTCATTTCTATTTATACTGCTCCATACTCTTTAAATTCAGAAAATAATTCCATATCCAAAACAGACTCATGATACAAATCCTCTGCACATTTATTACCACAACATTTACTTCCGCATCAATGTTTCATGCTCACAGTGATTGTCTTTCTATTTTTTACCACATTCCCATCATAATTCTGCATGTGAATCAATCACAGAAACAGACAAAGCAGAATTTGTTATCGATGTCTGAATTTATGAGCTAGCTGAGAAGTCACTGTACAAAAAATGAAGAATCATTTTTAAGTGAAAACCATCAATTTTAAAGTGAAAAAGCATGAGGAAGATTGGCTTCTAAATCATAAAATAAACCTTCCAAAAAAAGACAAAAACAATGTTCGAGAACTGTTAGCTTCCATGACTGCTTTCTTGAATGTCTGCCATGACAGACCTCTAAGATGGTACTAGCTAGGACTTGATGGCTGGCAATAAGAACTTGTATTTTAGTGCACTAAATAAATTTAACCAGTTTGAGAAGGTCTGTTCCGAAGGACAAAGAGCATAACTGGAAAGTGTTTTTTTCATACCTGTCAGTGGCTGAGTAGTGTAGATGCCACTATCACAAAATCATAGAATGGCCAGGGTTGGAAGGGACCTCAAGGATCATCAAGCTCCAATCCCCCTGCCGCAGGCAGGTCCACCAGCCTCCATATCTAATACTAGACCAGGCTGCCCAGGGCCCCCTTCAACCTGGCCTTGAACGCCTCCAGGGATGGGGCATCCACAACCTCTCTGGGCAGCCTTGGTAAAGAACTTCCCCCTGATATCCAACCTAAATCTTCAGTCCTTCAACTTAAAACCATTTCCCATTGTCCTGCCATTATCTACTCTTGTAAAGAGTCAGCTCCCCTCCTGTTTGTAGGCTCTCTTTAGGTACTGGAAGGCTGCAATGACTTCACCCCACAGCATTCTCTTTTCCAAACTGAACAAGCCCAGCTCTCTCAGCCTGTCTTCCTAGGAAGATGCTCCAGCCCTCTGATCTTTGTGGCCCTCCTCCTTCTCCAACAGCTCCCTGTCTTTCTTGCACTGGGGACCCCAGACCTGCACACAGTACTCAGATGGGGCTTCATGGGGACAGAGTAGAGAGGGACAATCACCTCCCTCTCCCTGCTGGCCACCCGTCTTCTGATGGAGCCCAGGATACCATTTGCTTTCCAAGCTGCACACTGCTGGCTCCTGTTAAGTTTTTCATCCACCAACATCTCCACTGAAGCTGAAGCACAATTATTGCTGGCTTCAAGAGGTCTGGATCGCTACAGCAATCTTATGTTCTTCAGTGCACTCCTATATGAAGGCAATAGTAACAAACCTACAATGGTCAACACTTCTCTGATAGTCAAAAAGGCAAAAATAAGTATTTTAAGCTTCAAAGATACAGCAGTAGATTAAAATTATAAATAGGCACATACACGCTTAATGTGCATTTACTGGCCCAAAGCTTATATGAGAATACCTTCAAATGATTCTAATCCTTTAAATTCTGGAATGCAAATAAGTGAACAAAGTGAAAAATAATTTTTTTAAAAACAATTGTTGTTAATTTGTAACCTGAATATTTGCATGGCGCTTGAATAGCCTTAGTTGTGAATGCTGAAGAATTATAGTAATCAATTTGCTTTATGATTTAGATGAGTATTTGGTTTGATACTTCAACTCATAGTTCTTAGAACTGGTCTTCAGACGGACATTGCTTTAAATACCTGTTCTGCATTGGCCATCCCACAAGTATTTCTGCTGCACATGGTTCAAATCTTTGCTCAGTATAATTAATCCAGTAGCAAATCTGACTATGCTCATCACTGAAAATCACTGTCAGTGTGGAACAGGAGCGCCACTTGGGGAGCCAGTGCCAAATAACTCCTGAGGCTTAAACTTTACTCACCAGCTTGCTGCAGAACAGCTTCCTCAGGCAGGTACAAACTCAAGAATTAACCTTCTTTTTTCACCCATTAATATCACAAAATCATTGAAAAATCCTTCATGAAGTCTTGCAGCTGTTACTGCATGTGGCTACTTTTCTGCACATCACTAAGCATCCCACTAAGGTCCAATACTCCAGATTAAATTAATTCTAACTGATAAAGGATATGTCCTGTATCTCATCTTCCTGAGGTAACAGAACTGCTCTACACTGCTGAAGGTGCTGAGGTGAGGTTTGCTGTGTTAGATTCCTACAACTACAGGGAGCTGAAACATCTGACCAAAGAGCCAGAGTGCATGAAATAAGAGAAAAGAAGCACACAGCTGGGATCATGGCAGATGACGAAAACAGGGCTACGCTTTTTCAAGGCAGTAAGATGATAGATTGGTCTACTCACCTAGAGCCAGGATACACCTGATATTGGCTGGTCATTATTAGCCGAGCCTCTTCAGTCTGCAAATCTTTGTGCTTCTACACAATTTAGCACTTTGGGACAAGCAATAATCTGTTCCCACATGGAAAATGGGAAAATATATTATTTGAAAGTATTTAATAGAAAAGAAAACAGTGATTTTCTTCAAAGGACATCAAAGTCCATGTTATTTATTTTGATGGGAATCAGTTGTCATCCATTTGACCGATTCAGTCAAATGGATTTTAAGAAAGATGAACCTGCGAATGACTTTGTTTATGCAACTGTGCAGGCTAATTTGGAATAATGAGTGCTACAGTAATATGGCTTATTCAGAGTATCAGCACTACTTCCTTAATGCCTCTTTTTAGTGCTTGCTGTTACTCTTTAATTGACTGTAAAGTGACAACAACAGAAGATCTTATAAGCAATCCAAGAATCAGTTACCTAACTCCTTTTAGGACTTACAGTTATCTCAACAGAACAGAAAATGTTGATAATTCTTCTCAGATGAAGACAAAAGATAGCATCTTGCGATTTTTCTCATCTTTTATGGTGGCTTCATCTACTGAGAAAGAAGTAACTAACTGCACTGTTAAAACAGAAAATACACAGACTTCTATATGAATATACACTAATTTCATTACAACTATCATTGTTCAGGAGATAGGAAAGTATTCTCTCCTGAGTAACATGACATTGAAACACAAGCATTAGAGATATGAAAATGATTCATGAAGTCATTATATCACATACTCCACTTTGCTTAATACTAGCAATTTGCAGATACTAGCATTAAAGAATACAGCCTGGGGCAAAGTT